CGCTTGAGCCCAGGTGTTGGAGGTTGCTGTGAGCAGAAGCCATAGCACTCTACCCAGGGGGACAGCTTGGGGCTCTGTCTCAAAAAAAAAAAAAAAACTAGGCAAGAAATATGAACAAAATCTTTTCTCATGAGGACAAATTGCCAACAAACATCCTAATAAATGTTTGTAATCTCTAATTATCAAAGAAATGCAAATCAAAACTACCCTGAGATACCAACTAACCCCAGTAAGAATGGCTCACATCACAGGTCCCAAAGCTACAGATGGTGGTGAGGGTGTGGAGAAAAGAGAACCCCTGTACACCACTAGTGGGACTGCAAACTAGTATAGCCTCTTTGTAAAGAAGTATGGAGAATCCTCAAAGAACTAAAAGTAGAACCTTCCATTTGATCCTGCAATCCAAATACTAGGTTATCTACCCAAAAGAAAGTCATTTTACCATAAAGACACCTATACTCAAATGTTTACAGCAGCCCCATTCACAACTGCAAAGATGCAGAAACAACCCAAATGATGAATCAACACATGAATAGGTTAATGAACCACAGTATAGGTACACCATATAATACTACTCAGCCATAAAAAATGGGGATTTTTGTATCTTCTGTAACAATCAGGGTGGATCTGAAGAACACTCTCCTACGTAAAGATGGCAGGAATGGGAAACACAAGCATGACAGGCCAGGCACAGTGCACACCTGTAATCACAGCACTCTGGGAGGCCAAGGTGGGTGGACTGCCTGAGCTCAGGAGTTTGAGACCAGCCTGAACAAGAGCAAGACCTCCGTCTCTAAAACTAGCTGGGCAATGTGGTAGGCACCTGTAGTCCCAGCTACTTGGGAGGCTGAGGCAAGAGGATCACTTGAGCCCAGGAGTTTGAGGTTGCTGTGAGCTATGATGACACAACACTCTACCAACAGCATCAAAGTGAAACTCTGTCTTAAAATAAAAAATAAAAAAACCATGACATGTGCTCAATACTAAGTTGAAACTAGTAGATTAATAACCATGTACCCACTTGACAGAAAAACTCAATTAAATTCAAGAAGGAGTGAGGTGGGGTGGGGAGAGGGTTCAGCAAGTTCCCACCCAAAGGGAACATTGCACAGGTATGTAGCACACTTCCTGGCTTAAGGAAGCAAGTACAACTTGGACTTTACCTTATAAATACAAACAATGAAACCTAATCATGCATACCCTTATATTAATCTGAAATGTAAAAAAAAAAAAAGGCTATAAAACAAAAAAATCATTAATCTGTACTAAAAGAGCTCGGGCAGCACCTATGGTTCAGTGGGTAGGATGCCAACCCCATATATCGAGGGTGGCAAGTTTGAACCCAGCCCCTGCCAGCTAAAAACAGCAGTGACAACTGCAACAAAAATAGCCAGGAACTGTGGCAGCCGCCTGTGGTCCCAGCTACTCTGGGAGCTGAGGCAAGAGAATTGCCTAACCCCAAGAGCTGCAGGTTCCTGTGAGCTGTGACGACACAGCACTCTACTGAGGGCAATAAAGTGACACTCTGTCTCAAAAAAAAAAAAAAGAACTAAGAAGAGACCTCATACTAGAGAAACATAAATGTGTTCTGTGTTTATGATTTTCATTCAGTGTGAATGCCTTTAATTTAGGTAGGCCATGGAGACTCCAGTTGAGAACAATTTCCTATTGTTTTATACCAAAAGGTTTGGACTTTTGTTACCTGGCAGGTACAGTGAAAATATCAATGCAAGAAAGCAGTAAGGACAAGAGATAATAGCCAGAGAATATCGTGAAGTTTAAGTATCCAGAAGATGTCTTGAAATGCTTTCTGGCTCGGCGCCTATAGCTCAACCGGCTAAGGCGTCAGCCACGTACACCTAAGGTGGCGGGTTCGAATCCCCAGCCCGGACCCGCCAAACAACAATGACGGCTGCAACCAAAAAATAGCCGGGCGTTGT